ATTTATAAATAATTACTAATAGCTTGTTAACCTACAATATGTGTTGTAAAAGTAACAAAATATTTTAGGTTTTAACCTTTGAAATAGTACAACCTTTCAAGTGTTATGGTGAGTTTTTAACACACCAAAAATTTGTTAAAAGTGTTTTATAGTACCAAAATACTCTATTTTTGTTATGACTAGAACTTGTTATAATTTACACAAAATTACATAAAACCTTGAAATTTATCATATCTCCACAAATTTTCAGTTGATAGTGGTAAAATTTATATATCCAAAAATTTACCCTTTTGAGTGTAAGCTTTCATGTTTACCACCTTTCAAATTTTTATAACCAAAAGTGCTTTAACATTCTCTTTGACATTATTTGTGATTTTTAACACACATAACAAAGAAACCATTTTCACCTAGCAACATGTTTCACTTTTAACATGACACCAAAATATGTGAAACTACACAAAGATAACTTTGCTCCAACAACTTGAGACTTTGTGAAAATCTTGAGTTTTAGCATGAAATAATAACATTTCAACACACACACACACACATATATATATATATATATATATATATATATATATATATATATATACAAGTGCATGCAAATATCCAAAGATTTCAAACAAGTTTTGACTTGTATTCCCCCCCCCCCCCCCCCCCCAAAAAAAAAGAATGAAAACCTGGAAGTAATGGGGTATGAAGCTCATTTTGGGTATTTCGAAATTTAGAGGAAGAAGAAGAAGGTTTTTTGAGCCTAGCTTGCTTTCTTGAGGGGATTCTCAAAAATGTGGGTGTTCTAAGGAGTTTAACACACAACAAAGTGTGTAAATTGAATGTTCTAAGCATAAACATGAAACAAAACCACTTGAGTTAAACATGAACTTACCAAGGAGCTTAAAAGTTGATCTTTGATGATGATGATCTAGAAAAAATGCTTGAGAGAACAATGGATACTTGAGAGAAAAATGAGATGAGAGTGAAAGTTGAAAGTGAATGTGGAGAGGGGAAGGGGGGGGGGGGGTCGGCAATTGAAGAGGATGGGGAGGGAAGAGAGTAGGGGTTGACTTCTTCATGCATGGATGGGATGTGTCTAGATGTTTGATGGTTCTAAGCATGGATATATGTTGGAGAACAATAAGGTGTCATCTTCATTGTCCACTCCCTTCCTTTTCTTTATTAGTCAAAACCTTAACCGGCCCAAGGTTGGCCCAAAAAAATATTTGTGAGCTTTGATTTGGCTTGGCCTAAATAAGGATCCTTGGCCTGTTGATGCTTAATAGGGGTTTTTTCGGTTCAAGGAGCCCAAGATAAGGGTTCTCAGCCCAACCAAGGCCCAAGTATGGATTTTTGGCCCAATATAATGTTTAATAAAAGTTTTCGGGCCATTAGGGCCCAAAGAGGGGTTTTCAGCCCAACAAGACCAAAAGGAGAAGTTATCGACCCAATGAGGCCCAATAAGGAAGTCTTGGTCCAATAAGGGATTTGGACCGACAATTCTTGGGCTAAGGTCGAAAAATGATTGGATTTGGCTTATTGGATTGAGTTTTGGGCTTATACGAGGTTGTTTCGACTTGAATGATAATGTATGTGAGTAGGAACTTAATAGCATTTAAGTTTGAATTTCAGTATGAAATGTTGTAAGATTACACAAGGAGATTATCTTGTACAAGGATCAACATTCGTAACCCTGATTTGCTAGTTGTGACAGATTACATGGTAGAAGTAGGGGGTGAAATAGTCCCTAGTATCGGTCGAAAGGACCGAAGGGGTAGGCTAGCACCCTGATATGCTAGGCAAGGTGCCGGTCGAAAGGACCGAAGGGGTAGGCCAACATCCTGATATGCTAGGCAAGTTACCAGTTGAAAGAGATCGAAAGGGTAGGCCAACACCCTGATATGCTAGGCAAGTTGCTGGTTGAAAGAGACCGAAGGGGTAGGCCAACACCCTGATATGCTAGGCAAGTTACCAGTTGAAAGAGACTAAAAGGGTAGGCTAGTACCCGGACTTGTTAGGCAGTATGATTATTGTATAATATGTGGTATGATGGGGGAACTCACTAAGCTTCGTTCTTACGGTTTTCAGTTTTGGTTTCACAGCGCATCACACTATGATTTCTGCATTATGAGATCTTTAGGAGTTGTACTCTGACAATACTTTTCAATGACATGTTTTAGTTATTTGAAATGTTGGTTTTTGATTATGAAATGAGTTAACACTATGGATGTTTGAAACTACTAGTTTTATACTTACTTAATAAAAAATGAAATTTTTGGTCTTGAATTTTTGGATGTTACAATACATGTGTACTCGTTTATCTTAATTGTATGCGTACTTGTATATGACACCATCTCCTTTTTATTATAACAATAATATGAATATATGTGAAAGAACTCTTAAATGCTAAGGTACTATTTAGTACGTTGCCTTTAATTAACTAAATTGCACTTAAAAAATGATATAATAACAAAAAAAAACACCTAGAAAATTGAAGGCCATGCCTATAGACCTTATGTTGGTGATTTTATATAACTAATATTATTTAAGTGTAATATGATTAATTTGTTGGCCAATGTCACTTTGCTAATTATAGAATAAATTAGGATGGTGCGGAGTGTACAATTGTTTAATTTTGTCTTTGTTGAAAGTATAATGCTATTTAGGGGCGAAACCCTTGAACTCATGGGGGTCCGGGGCAGTGCCCCAAGGAGCGGGGTCGAAGGGGCGGCAGCCCTGGCAGGGTCGAAGGGACAGATCCCCTGGCTGGGTCGAGCTTCAAAGTCAGCGCAAATTTTTTTATACGTGTTATGTTGCTATATAAAAAATGCCTTAGAAATCCAGTTTTTTGGAATAAACTCGGTTTTGTGCTCCTGGTTATAGTCCCGTTTTTAAGTTGGTTTATGACAGATTATGTGACAGTTTTTGGATAGAAAGTTGCATTACTTATAACTATCATATGACTGTTTAAGATAGGAAGTTGGTTTCCTGTTGTATGATCAATTTTGAAATCAATTGGGTATAGAATTTTCATAACATCTTTTGCATTCTCTCTTCTTGTAAATAGTGAGTTTTATCCGATTAGAGGTTTCCGAGTGTACACTCGAAATGCATTAATTTGAAAGTGTTTCACAACTCTCATTGATCCAAACAATTTTATACCCCAGTTTTCCAACACCTTGTCGATTGTAATTTTCAATTAATGTGACACCTTATGTCTAGACCATAATGATAAGAACAAATCAACCTATCATTGCATCATAATTATATGATGTATAGAAGCTACCATCTACTAGAGTCTTTAAGATACCTATGTTAAACCATTTGTTCCCTTATTTATATGCATTTCTCATTCAATGTATCTATGAGCACCAAATTTCTTTTATTAATTTAATCACACATTGTGAATCACTACTAGAAAAAAGCCCTTTAATGACGCGCAAACAATGACACGCGGTGATTTACGATACGCAAAAGTGTGTGCCCCAAAAATAATGTCATCTCTTCTAAAATTTGAAGGATAGAGGGCGTGCACAAAATTAGTGTCAGAAAAGAAAAAAAAAGAAATAGGGAGGATGCCTTTCATAAGATGTGCGTCATGTAAGTGTGTCGCTTTATATTTTTTTTAATGAAACACGCGTTTCAAGCGGGAAATGAAATCTCAAAAATTAAAACCCCGCCTTTTCTTCCAATTAGCAAGAAAGAATCCTAGGGTCTTTGTCTTCCCCTCTCTCTCTCTCTCTCTCTCTCTCTAACCTAAAACCCAACCTGCGATTTCATAGAGATCTCCCATGGCTGTAACAATGAAAAAAGAAAAAAGACGCCACGTCGGTGAATTTAGGGTTGGAAGATAACAATGATGAGTGGGTCAACCCTCATGAAATCGATCCACACTTGCTACTTTTCTCCTACCTTTCTCTCCACCCTTCTCTTTCACCATAATCATCTTCTTATTCATTCACAAAATATTCAACATGAAAATCAAATTGCTGTTTCATATTTCATTCATTCATATAAAGCCCTGATATTTCAATTCGATTTTGAACCCTACCTAAATCATCATCCTGGAAAAACCCTAGCACATCATCCCTAAAACGCCCAATAGAAAAAAAAACCCAGATTTAAATCCTTAATTGATTCAGACGATGAGAACTTGGATGAAGTCGCACCTTCTTCACCCTCCGGTTCGACTTCATGGCATTGTTGATTCAAAGTTTTAGGTAATATTTCTTGATATTGTTATACTCTTATCTCTTCAACTATCTTCAATCGTTCGCTTCAATGTCTCCAGTCGATTTCATTATCTTCAATCGATCAAAGTGAAAGATGCCTATATTTTCGGAGTTGATTTGTTAGGGTTCTTTCACATCCCTATAGAGGAGACCGCGATCTCCTCTTCATTCCATGATCCCCACTTCTACTCTCTATGCATCTCAGGTATTCTTTGTTCCTTCTCCCCTATTCTCATTCTTGTTTGATTTCTTAGGTTCGACACTTCTCAACAACATTCGTCGACTTACTCGTAGATTTCCTTCAATTCGATGTTTCTCTTAACCTAGGAAGCATGAATCTGGTGGTTTCGAGGTTCAAGATGTGTCGGTTCCTGATAGTGTCGACGGTGGCGACTACGAGGAAGTCGAAGTTGGCTGAAACAGTTGTGCTAGGTTTTAGCAACAAATTTATGGACATCCATATACATATTGCGATTTCAAAGTCATCTTATGAAATCAACATTCCCTCAATTTGAATTTGATGCAGGTAATACACGACCCAATACAAGTTTCTCTCTCTCTCTCTCTCTCTCTACTACTACTCGACAACCACCCAGGCACCCACCACCCTTCGTCTTCTCTCTGGTTCACCACCGCCGTCAATAGAGCCCCATTATACATATTAGTCATGCTTTAACTGCTACTATCCAGGTTAATTTTTTAAAGAACTCTTACATTAGGAGATATGCAACAATTCTTGTGTACTTACTATTTTATGTTTCTCAACATCAGCTCATGGATAGGATGTTTGATGAATTTGCAAATCTCTGGATGAAAATGAAGATTCAAGTTAAAACCAAAGAAGATCTTGATTCAAAACAGTACATATTCAGACCTCGTGCTTTTGACATTAAAGATGTCATTGAAATGGACGTATCTACCCTCGAAAGTTCGATTGCCAATGAAGCTTTCTCAGAGTGGAAGGAGTTGGCTTCAGAGGAAGTATCTGTTGAAAGTGAAAAGGTAAGCATTCCTCTTGCTAACATTTGTTAATGCAATTGTACTAATGGAAGAAATTACTTCATTTGTTAATCGAAAAATAATTTGGGTTTGATACTACTGTAGAGGAAGCTCAAAGAGCAATAAATTTTGCACATGTGGAAGTGGAAAGTGTTGAAAATGGAGTTGGAATAGTGAAACTTATGGGTCGATATAGTGGCAAGTATCTATCTTCAATCTCCTCATGAAATAATAAATTGTTAAAAAGTTAATTTTTTTTTCTCTCATTTATTCTTCCAAACTTGTTTGACCTTTTTGAGGATTCATTGCCATGTTTTCCATGTTGGCAAGGCAAGATGTGGTAACTAAATAACAAATTTGTAATATTATTAGTTTTATTAATCTGTAAATCAAGAATAAAATAGATATGTTAATAATAATTAATATGTGTTATTGTAATTGTAAAACAGGATTGCTGCCTGATTCCAGAGTCTCCATTTATCTAGAAGGGCAAGGTGGTCTTTTTGAGTTCATTCAACATAGACTTAAAGAGAATGGGCATGTGGTGACTGTGTTTGGCTGAAGGAGCAGACCAAGAATATGTTTCTGAAAGTGTGAATGCAGTTGAAGAGAGAGAGAGAGAGAGAGAGAGAGATGCATCTGGAAATAAACTGCTTATTGACAGCAACTTATTAGATCATTGGTGGGTGATGATGACCCAATCCCAGATGTGAGGAAGCCTGCCAAGCGACAGTCTGGTAAAGGTTGGTTTCTCTTCAATTGCTTGATTCTTTTACTTATAACAAGGTTAAGTATTACCTTTTCTTTCTGTATCATTTGCAGGTATTTTTATGAAGTATAGAAATTCAAGATTCTCATACACAAAAACTAGAAGAAAAACTACTAAATAAAAAATTCCGAAAATACCCCTGTATCTTATTTTTTGATTTATCCTAATAGGTAATGCAAATGCTCATTATCTGCAAGGCCGTCTATATCTATATCTATGCCTGAATATAATAATACGATGGACATGTTGATGAGGTTGCTTACTAGTACTAGAGAGGATTTTTCCTTGAACGAGTTGATGGAATAATTTTTAAGAACATGTAATTAAATTAAGCAACATAAATATTGGTACTATATTGTAAGAACATGAAGGGCGACTCAAAGCAACTCCAACTGATTCCAATAAATTTCGAAGAAGACATGCATAACCAGGGAACTCAGCTGATATGTCAACAGGTAATATTTTTTCATAATTTTGACTACATGTTGCCATTTTATGAAGATAATACTAACATAGCCCATGTGAAACATAAGTCTAGACATAGAAACAATGACAAATTTCAATATGTGGAAGCCAAATAAAATAGACAGATGAATTGATGAAATGTTTTTACAACTGAATTACCTCCTTTTGGTGACGAAAAATCTTCCATAGAAAAGGAATTGTTAGAATTTGGGAGGCATAACTCCATTGAAGGTCAATATATGGACAAACACAATACCCTTGACCAGTATGAGTAACAACTAGGGCAAGAACACGCTCCATTAAAGATACACTTCCAATTCGGCTTTCAGAGTTTAAACTTTCCTACAAAAATTTAAATAGTAACAAGTAAAAGATAAGGTAAGACTAAAACAGGATGCAGATTTTAAAAAACTAAAACATATTAACAATTAACATACCCTTCCTGTAATAACAATCTCCCGGAAAATCTTATATATGTTTTGTTGCAAAAGATAACTGGCTATCTTACAAGACCAAGGAAGCTTGGGATCAATCAACAATGCAGCTGCTTTCAACAAGATACTTGTTGGTGTATTTGAGTCCAAATATGTTGATAACAATTGATGAACAACTTGTAGCTTGACAGGTATGCATGCTGTTTAGATTTAATTTAGGGTGGACTTGTAACATGATTGGTTTATTACTTAGAGATTATGATGGAAAAGTTACTCATGAGGAAATGGCATCTGCAGCAATATACTTGAAAGATACTTTAGGCAAGGAAGGGGTTCAGGAGCTTATCACCAACCTTTCCAAAGATAAAGATCACCCTCGTTACTTTACAACTTGTAAAAATTTACTCCAAAACAGAATGCACTTGATTCCCAAAGATAAAGTTCCATTCATTTGGCAACCAAACAAAGCTCAAATTCCAATTCCTTCAAAATCCACACCACACCCTAATAACTTTGTCTTTATACCCGACAACTTGACTTGTTTTGGTATGTGTATTGTATGACAGAGGGGAATATTCTTGTTGAAGACATAGTGAAATTGGGCAGTCGAGCAGAGGATGCTGGCTGATTGATCTCAATTCTCTCAACAACCACAGATGAGATGAATAATGGTATTGTATTCTTTTGTTTGATTTTAGATGTAACCAACTAGTATATGTATAACTTCCAATACCTTTTTTTTTTTTTTTTTTTTTACTTTTTGTAGCCAGATTGTGAGGCTAGCTTGCTGAGTGAGTGAAATGGTTTATTTTTTTAACCCTGATCTATTGTTGCTTAGGCCTTGTTTATTTTTTCTTATTCTTGTGGAACCAATGAGCAAATAAAGTATGTTTTTTTTATCAAGCTGTTGTATCTATTCAGACCCGGCTTAGAGAAATGGTTGCAAGAGATGAGTTCGGAAGAAGAAGAAACAAGGCTGCAACTATAGTTCAGGTACTATGGATGAATTATGTTTGTAAAGTATTTAAGAAAATGATTAGAAACAAGGGTGAATTTGTACAGATTAGTTAGCTACTTGCAGGTTGATCTTGAAAAAGCAAAGGGGCAATGGATTGTATTTTTTGTATCTAATTTGTTTGTAAATTTTTGTTACAACTTCTATTGATTTGTTTCATTTTTCCATGGAACGATTATTTGTATGACATTAAATTTATGCAATGGATTCTATTTTTTGTATATGATATTTTATTTTCTATTATGAAACGTTAAATACAAATTTAATTTGAAAATAAGTAAATCCAATTTTTTTTTTTTTAAACATTTTAAATTATGATACGCAAAAATGTGTGTCATCTTCATTTATGACATGACCTTTCTTGACAGGGGATTTCTTGATACGCATTGCGTGTCATTAACACGCGCGTCGTAAGGTTACGACACGCGAATGCGTGTCGTCTTCATTTATGACAGGGTCTTCCTTGATACGCATTGCGTGTCGTAAACGCGCGTCGTAATTGTGCGTCGTAAATGAGCGTCGTAAATGCGCGTCGTCTATAGACGACGCGCAAAAGCGCGTCGTCTCTCTTTATGACAGGGCCTTCCTTGACGCGCATTTGCGCGTCGTCTGAGCCTTTTACGACGTGCAATGAGCGTCGTAAAAGGCTGTTTTTCTAGTAGTGAATACAACACATCATGCTATAATAATATAAAGCTTTCTACAATAAATACATTTCATAATTCTTTATCAACTGCAATTATACTTTCATCACGTATCTTACTCTATAAGGAGTTCATTTGCACTATCATATCATACTTTACCTTATAAAAGAACTCATTAACTTTTAAAACATTATTTACTCTATAAAAGAGTCCATTTAATTTCAAAACATATTTTGCTCTTATATAGAATTCATTTACTTTAAAGACGTGCTTTACTCTATAAAAAGAGTACTTATACTCTCAAATATACATTACTCATATAAAACTTTTCAATATTAAAACATGCATTACTCTATAGAAAGAGTACTCGTACTTTCAAGCATGCTTTAAATTTTGAGATAACTTTAACATTTGTAACACATTGGAATTTAAAAGAAATGTCTCCTTTGATTTGTGATTGGGGTAGTAACAAAACTATTTCTCATTTCTTGTTTTTATTTTATTTTATTATTATTATTAAACAAAACTTCAAAAATGGTCCCTATGGTTTTCGAAAATATCAAGTTTAGTCCCTAAGTTCATAAAACCTCATGGATCGTCCCTGTGGTTTCAAAACTTTTAACATTTGGTCCTTCCGGCTAACTCCGTTACCATTTAGCCGTTAAGTCAGGGGCATTTTTGTCATTTCACTACACAAGGACCATTTATGAGGTTTTTAATTACTTTTTTTTAAATAAATAAATATATAATATTTAATATGCAAGGGGTCCCACCCCATCTCTCTCTCTCTCTCTCTCTCTCTCTCTCTCTCTCGCACTCTCTCGCCCTCTCTCGCCCCTGTTAAGACGCATCACCCAAACACCCTCTATTATTTTTTTGATCGACCCTTGTTTTCCACGAAGCCACAACTCCGGTGAGATAAGCTAACAGTCTTATGGCGAGTTTGGTGATGATCGTAGAGTTTCATCTCCTTGGATTTCGGAATATGATCAACCATCTAGGGCAGACGAGGTCGATAATTGGGCAGTGACGAAGAAACCTATGATGCCTACTTATGACGAGATTTCTAGAGATGAAGAGATTGATAATTGGACGGCGAGCAAGGAGCCCATGCCACTCACCAGGTCTTCTAATTCCGGTCCTGGTTTTCGAGATTCCGGTGGTTCTGAAGACGATCATTGGAAATAGGGAGTTGTGCCTTGTGATGGTGATCAGGAACGACCAACGGAGCGCCAGTGTTTGGTGTTAGATCCACCAAAGGGTGAAAGTGCTCCATTTGAGCCATCAGCGCACACCAATAAACTGAGTCCTTTTGGGGCAGCTAGGCCCAGGGGCTGAGAAAGGTTTGGTTCACAAGAAAAGTAGCAGTCGGTCCACGAGTTCACATTCCGGTAGTTCAGTAGAGGTTCGGACTGCATTGCAACCACATGGATTAGAGAAGACAAGGCCTAAGGTGAACCCTTTTGGCGATGCTAAACCCAGAGAAGTTTTGCTTCAAGTGAAATAGGTATTGATCACAGAAAGATTAATGTAGAGTGAAGCTTCGTCGGCTTGGCAGGTTAGTATTCCTATCTATTATTTTATATTCTTCTCTTGACACTTGATGAAAAATCTGATCTCTGGCTGTGTGAAATTGGGTATTCCATTCAAGCATCATCATCATCATCATCATCATTGGGAAACTGTATAAATATTGCATATTAATCTTCACACCTGGTCTTTTAGTAACCTTTGGTGTTTCTATTGTGAATACCCATCATGATAATAAATTGTTAAGCCTTTTAATTTTTTGTTAGGTCTGACACAGAAGAAGCGATAAAGAATTTTAAGGAAGAGATAGATTATCTGAAGAGAGAATATAATTCTGGTTCAGATGCAAAAAAACAATTTAACGGAAATGGAAACCAAAGCAGTAGTAGTTTAAGTGATAGAATACTTGAAAAAGAAAGGAAACCGGAACAACTAAACCATGATTTAGATTACAAAATTTGGTTCGGTCAAAAACCAGTTGAACGAACTAGTTTGGGGTTGATTGATGATTCCTGTAATAGAGATCATTCATGGGTAGGGAAGGGTGATTACAGAGAGACAAAGATGATAGGGGAAAGCCATGAAGAAGATGAAGAAGAGAATGAGGTTGAGGAGGATCAGTGCACATTTGGAGAGAGAGAGAGAGAGAGAGAGAGACCCTTTATAGAGAGAGATATGGGGTGGGACCCCTTGCATATTAAATTTATTTATTTATTTAAAAAAAAGTAATTAAAAACCTCATAAATGGTCCCTGTGTAGTGACATGACAAAAATGCTCCTGACTTAACGGCTAAATGGTAACGGAATTAGCCGGAAGGACCAAATATTAAAAGTTTTGAAACCACAGGGACGATCCATGAGGTTTTTTGAACTTAGAGACTAAACTTGATATTTTTGAAAACCACAGAGATCATTTTTAAAGTTTTGTCTTATTATTATTATTATTATTTAACTTTTGATTGTTAATATAAATATTGTATTGATTTTAATGGTATTGACATAAGTTATGCACCCCGTATGAATTTGCTTCGGCAAAGCAAAATCATTTTCAAGATGAGAAAGTTCGTTACAACCTAAACATGATAATTCATGCGTAAGGAGAGTGCTTCTTTTCCTTAATGTTTGATGATTATACTCTCATCTCTCGTGTGGTTGTCCAAATAACCGATTTCAGAATACTCTTCAGTTTTTATGGATGAGTTTGATGATTCGCATGATGAGAAATCTAAAATGATCTTATATTTTTTCTGTGAGAGTGAATTTAAAACTTATGCTTCATAAACAACCACGATAATAAAAAGATAAATGAAACAACAAACATAGTTATGATCAACACTAAAATTAAAGATCATGCATTGCCAAAGACCGAAAAAATCCTGTAACTGAATCAAAAGTCATCGTAAACTAATTAGGTCTAACCTAATTAATAAACATGAACATAAAGCAACACACATAGTTATAATTAACATTAAAATGAAACATTGTGTGTGCACACAAGATAAAAAAAAAATAAACTCTTGAGCCATCATGAACTAATTAGGTCCAATCTAAGGGACAAAAATAAAATTTTGAACTTAATTTATCTAGAAAAATAGGATAACTTTTGTTTGTTGCTGGAATTTTCTGCCACCGACTGCTAATGCCCATTAGTGAGGCTGTGAGGGTGGGGTGGCGTTTCCAGAAAGGGGAAGACACATTGGGCCATGTTTCTTTGGGTCGTGGGTTATTTGGGTCTATCTGTGTTTTGTTCAGGCCCATTGTTTCCATAATACCGACTCCACTATGATTTCCTAATTTAGGGGCTGTTTGATTTTCTGAAGTAAAAATTTATGAAGTCTGCGGACCACCTCTGCAACCCTCTGCAGTAGAAGAGGTGGACCAAACGGCTGCAGACTATAATAAGAAGCGTGTTTGTTTTTTTAACATCTGCATACTGCTGCAGATATTAAAAAATTAAAATAAACTAATTTAATAAACCGAAAATAGCTTTTTAATACATAAAATTTAATAATGTATAACATTTCAGTAAAAATTAATGATATTTCAGTAAAAAATAATGATATTTCAACAAAAAATAAAGATATTTTCAGTAAAAAATAATGATATTTTATCAAGAAATTATCATTATTGAATATAAAAAAAAATGAAAAATAAATTCAATAAGAATAAACGAAAAAAAGGGAAAAAATGTGAAATAAAATTTTAATAACATATAATCAAAATTTTAGCAATAAAAAAAGAAGAAGAAGAGGTTGGAAGAGGTTGGAAGAGGCAGTACAAGTGCTGCGCCAAACAGAGCACGCACAGAGGTTTTTGACTCAGAAGACTTCTAAAACACAAACAGCTGCGAGATGAAAAGTGTTGCACGTGTGCTGCGCCGCGCAGCAGCAAGAGGTTTGAAGAGGTTTTTTCCAAAAAAACAAACAACACCTTAGTGTGTGTTATCACCACTTCAGTTGTATACAAAAAGTAGGCTTATGGTATAATACAAACGTGCTTGATGAAATGTTAGGGATAAAAAATAGGAATGTAGTTCTAAAATATAAATTATGAACAAATCTTTTGCAATACAAATCAATTCCCATTATCCAAATAGCTACAATAAAACTCTTACACTACGGTTGCCCATCACATATAAACTAGAGGCCAGTCAAACTACCCTATGGACTCGTTCATCCAACCTAATAACCTTGTTCCACCAATTTTCCCTGTTGAGTGGACAATATGGGCTCAGGCTAAAGTGAAAAAAAATATATATGTTATAACATTAAAAATGTGTCATTTTACATATCACATCACTCATAATATTACAATAATATTGTAAGAAATAATCAGGATGTTATAACATTCACTAATTTTTATGTCATCATTTATATTTTATATATTTTTTAGTTTTTCTAATAGTTATTAAAACAAATATAATTTTAAACATACTATTTAAATAAAAACAAATAATTAAATTAAACACAATGTCTAAATTAAAAAAAAAACATTACAAGACAAAAAAAATACATTTTTTCCTAAATAACACCATTCATCATCATCGTTAGTATCATAGATATAATCCACCAAGTCTTTTTGTGCGTCTTAAATATCAACGACTTTATGCAAATATTTTATTTTTCCTGGTTGAAATTAAATGTGTATAGGCTCTCTTGGGGGTATAATGTATAATATTTCGTTATTTTTCTTCTACTACTATGTTATGCATTATGATACTATTGAATATATATATATATATATATATATATATATATATATATATATATATATATATATGCTTAAGAATCATTATTAAATGATTTTGCTAATATCATATGATCATATATGGTCACACTTTGGTACTTATTGAATATTTATTAAGTATTTGATTATTATAAATCAACTCCTGTATTTAATTAGATAAAAATAATAATAAAAAGAAAGAACAAATTATTTATTATAGCATATGATATGATTAATAAGTCATCTACAAAAATTTTGGAAACATTGATTAACTATAGACTTACTAGTTAGTTAACTTTTTAACTGAAGAAACTAGCCAAACTTTTTGTCTTCTTCTTTTGGCCATATGACCGAATTTTTTTTAATAAACATGAGAAGTTGTTTGTCAACCTTCCCTCACTTATCCTACATGCTTACTCTCATTTATATTACTTTAGAATATAAAAGGAAGTATTATGCCATTAAAACAAAGAAATGTTTTTGGATCCCATTAAATGTAAGAATTACATAAGAGTTTTAATTGGTTATCGTAACCTACTGATGAATAAAATCACTTGTGTTATGGATTACCGCCTCAAGTTATTATGTGTGATGTGGATCTTAGTTTTTCAATCTTAATTTAAAGGGTATTTAATTTCTTAAAGAAATTATAGGAAGGATATTAAAATGAATCTTATTATTCTGTAGATAACTACCCCAACTATAACTACCTCATCAATCACCATTTGATCCATCCTCGAAAAAGAAAAACTAAGCGGACCCAACATTCTTGATTATTTCATACAACTTAGGATTATCCTCAAACTTGAGAAAGAGGACTATGTCCTTGATGAACCTATTCTAGAAGAACTCCCAGCCAATGCTGCCAAGGCATTGAAAGATGCTCAGATAAAACATGTAAACGATTCAACGGAAGTGGCTTGCATCATGATTACAGTGACCCCTGAGCATCATAAAACTTTTGAGTTCCATGTAGCATTTGACATGATTGAACAACTGAGAATCATGTTTCAAGTTAGGATAAGTGAGAAACGTTTGACACCTTGAATGCTTTCATTGGCTTTAAAATGTACGGGGGTTCTTTTGTGAGTGCACATGTACTCAAAATGAAAGCTTACAAGTAGCTTTCTCGCCTCAGATTCCCATTTGGGGATGAGCTAGAGACAAATGTGATTCTAGCCTTATTTCCAAAGTCATTCAATCAATTCGTATTGAGTTTTTCTATGAATGACTAGGAGAGAAACACTAATGAGCTTCATTTAATGCTAAAAAAATATAAAGGCAAAGATCAAGAAATATGGGAATCAAGTACTGATGATTTGCAAGGGTCAAATCTCCAAGAAGAAAACCAGTAATGCTACATGTAAGGGGAAAAGCAAGGCCTTAAAGAAAGGCAAGGGAAAAGGAAAGGGTCAAAGGAAGCCTCCTATTAC